GATTGACATTTACCATATACCTGGAACTAGCCTAGTTGATGGTTAACTCAAGGGGCTAAATTAGGGAAAGAACTACAGTTAAAGACTACATTGATTTTGCCCCTGCTGTAAGGAATTAAGGAGCTATCAAGGTGACCTCCTCCATGAAGACAATAGCAGATCACACAGTTGTGCTGGTTCTGATCATTTATTCACTGTGTCAGGCTAAGCCAGAAGTTTCTTTAGTAACAAACACAAAGGAAGGGAGTTTTAGAAATTTTAAATGTAATAATATTTAGGAACACACAAGTAAAAAGTGTTTTTTTGTTCTTTATAATCCAAAGAACTTATCTAAAACAAGACCAAGTATATATACATACACTAACAGAGGAAGGTAGACCCCTTTTCCTTTCTTTATACTTTTTATCCCTACTATGTGGCAGGTACTGTCCTAAGCACGGGAATATACCACTTAAGCTTGTATTCTAACATCATGTAAAGCCTGAACATAGTATTTTAGATTGACCTTGGGACTAGTCCAAACCCCTCATTTTACAGAGGAGAAATTCAAGGCACAAAGAGATCAACTATATTGTCGGAGCAGATTATTGCAGCCATCTGGGAATAAAAGTAGGTATGGAAACCGGTTTTCTTATTCCTTTTCTATCATCAAAATTTGCTTACTTATTAAGCAAGTATGCCTGTGAGTCTCCTACACATGAGACACTATGAGAGGCACAAAGTACACAAAAAATGCTAAGACACTGACCCTATAGTCTTCTCAAAAAGGCACCATCTAACATCAAGACCATGGGATGAGTACAGTAACAGAAACAATAACCGAAAGAAACAGCAAACCGTGTCTCTAGGTTGGGCTTCTGATATTTTCAAAGAAAGAAAAGGTCTAATAGTTTGTTTCATACTGACAAAAACCCCATGAGGACACAGCCTTGATCTGATTATTCCTGTGATGAGGATGGAGAAACTCAAGCGCAGAGCAGATCAACGTCCTCTCCAGTGGCAGCAAAATGCTTAGAAACCAAGTTTGTTTACTCCAAGAATCAGGTTTTTCTCACTTGATGGAAAAGGCAGATATTCTTTTTCAGACCAATTCCTTGCTGACCAAAAACACACATTTCTAAGATTATGTGCAGGATAAACCAACCTACAAAACATTACTTCCAGCATCTGGGGGGTTGGTCTTTTTGAGATAGAGTCTCCCTGTAGCCACAGCTGCCTTGGATTCACTATGGAGACCAGGCTGGCCTCGAACTCACAGAGATCTACCTGCATCCCCCTGCACCACCACACCTGGCTTACTTCCAACATTCTTAAAGTGCCCATTATAGATAAAAAGAACAGATGGAAAGGGACCTGCCCTAGGAAACTTTGTAGCACAGGAATGAGCAAATAAACATTTCAACAAAAATCAACAAAAGCAGAAGACTCTTCATAAACAACAGCAAATTTAAGATGATAAAGGTTTTGGGGGCTAGAGAAATGGCTCAGTGGTTAAGAGCACTGGCTGCTCTTGCAGGGTTCTTGGGTTCAGTTCCCAGCACCCACATGCCAGCTAACAACTGTAACTCCAGTTCCAGGAGACTCTAACACCCTCTCCTGACCTCCGCAGGCAGTGCACAACATGTGTAGGCAATACACTCATAAACATAAAATAAAAATAAAATATTTTTAAAAAAGATGATAAAGGTTTTGCAGAAAAAAAATCTAATGGGAGCTGCCAAGAAATAGATGTTTGAAGAATTAAAATGAGAACAGAAGGCCTGTATAAGGATGATACACACCAATCTCCAGATTACTAAAATAAAGACTATTGCCAAAAATATTCATCACATTTAAATAACCAATTTCTTAATGGTTTCATTTCACTTTTCAATACTACTTAAAATCGTGAAAATATTCCATTTCCGTTTTTCTAAGAAAGTAATAATTTTCTAACCTTTTCTATCCTAGGAGAATGAATGTACAATAGGTGTTTCTATCAGTAACACTTTGGTAAAAAGATTAAAACTGTGTGGTATCCTCCACTCTCTTTCAGATACAACCTCAATGAAATGAATCTCATCATTTTCTCCTATACTTAGTAAAATTTATATACACATCCAAGAGTCACTTCACAAAAACTAAAAGGGGAAATCTATTTATTTTTGTTTGTCTGAGACAAGGTCATATGTAGCCCAGGCTGGCCTCAAACTAGCTATGAAGCCTAGGCTGACTTGCATCTCTTGATCCCTCTGTCTATCTCTAACTCCCAAGTACTAGGATTACAAGTTTTCACCACCAGGCTGTTTATATCACTATTAATCATGGGTTGATAACCTGACCCAATTATTTGGAACCTTAATACAGTGTAGAATAATAACTTGTCTAACAAAGTGGACAAACTTAATGAGAAACAAGGATTAAGCATTTTAAGTTAGCTTACTAACTGGACAAATTAATTACTTTAAGAACAGTCTAGGGCTGGAGAAATGGCCCGGCAGTTAAGAGCACTAGCTGCTCTTACAGAGGCCCCAGTTCTGGTTCCCAGCTAAGAACCATCTGTAATTCCAGGGGATCCGATGCCTTCTTCTGATCTCTGTGGGCACTGCATGACATTGGTGCACTTATATACATGTAGGCAATACACTCATATACATAAAATAAAAATAAATAAAAAGTTTAAAAAAAGAATAGTCTTAAAAGAATTAAAATCATCCTTCCAAAGTGGAAATACTTATTTATTTTGAAAATGCAACTCAGTTTTAGAAACAAAACAAGGGCTAGAGAATGGATTACCAGTTGGTTAAGATCATTTGCTACTCAATCATGAGGACCAGAGTTCCCAGACACCCACATCTATCAGCTCACAAATGCTTTTAACTCCAGGTCCAAGGGATCTGATGCCTTCTTCTGGTTTCTGTGGGCGTGTACGCGCACACACACACACACACACACACACACACACGTACAAGTATACTCACAGACACAGACACAGACACAGAAAAATATAAATTAAAATCTCTTCTACTCACTCTGGCATTTCCTGCATATTCTCAGCAGATTCATACTTACAATCAGTTACCTTCCTTTAAAATGCTTGGTGAATTTTATAGGGTGATGAATAGTGATTTAAAAGACAACTCAGAATTATCACACTAGGTTTCACTAACATTACTATCAGCATATCACACAATTTCTTCTTTACTTTTCTTCTTTTCTTTTCTTTTTTTTTTAAGAGACACGGTCTTACTCTGTAGCCCAGGCTGGCCTCAAAGTCACAATCCCCCTGTCTCAGCCACCCAAGTACTCGGATTTCAGGGATGTGTCACAATATCCAGCATATTTATTAATTCCTAAGAGTTTCTTCATAAGAAAATATATTCTATAAGCAACAGTATAACTTAAATTTGAATCACAGTAATTTCTTTAGGTAGGAGAAAAACTGGGCCTGAATTTACATCAAGATTCCTTTTTTGTTCTTTCCTTTTTTTTTTTTTTTTTTTGTCTTTTTGAAGCGGGGTCTCCCTGTAGCCCCAGCTGTGCTAGAACTCACTAGGTAGACCAGGCTGGCCTAGAACTCACAGAGATCTGCCTGCCTCTTCCTCCCAAGTGCTGGGACTACAGGCGTGCGCCACCACATCCAGCTCTTTTTAATTTTTTAAATAAACCCTTCTTGTAAAATATATTTTATTTATTTAGAATTTATTATTTATTTTTTGGTCTTTTGAATCAGGGTCTCCCTGTAGCCCCAGCTGGCCTGGAATTCATTATGTAGACCAAGCTAGCCTTGAACGCACAGAGATCCACCTGCCTCTGCTTCCTGAGTGTTGAGATTAAAGGTCTGTGCCACCATGCCCAGCCTTTTAGTTATTATTTTTTATTTTATTATTTTTAAAAAATTCTTTTAAACTTTTAAAAAAATTTTTATTTATTTTTGTTTTATGTGTATGCATGTATTGGCTGCAGGTAGGTAAGTGCACCCACATTGTACAATGCCCAAGGAGGTGAGAAGAGGCTGTTGGATCCCCTGGGACTGGAGTTACAGACAGTTGTTAGCTGCCATGTGGGTGCAGGGATTCGGATCTGGGTCTTCTACAAGAACCACCAGTGTTCTTAACCGCTGAGCCATCTCTCCAGCCCCTATTTTTTATTATTTTATGTGTATGAGTATATTGCCTGCATATGTGTAAGTGCACCCATGTCATGCAATGCCTGCACCTGTCAGAAGAGGGCATCTGATCCCCTGGAACTAGAATTGCAGACAGTTGTTAGCAGCCATATGGAATCTGGGACTCAAACCTGGGTCTTCTGCAAAAACAGTCAGTGTTCTTAACCCCTGAGCCATCTCTCCAGCCCCTTATATCTAGATCCATAGGAAAAAGACCACTTGGTCAAATGGATCCCAAATGAAGTTAAGAAGGTAACTGACATGCAACGACAGTGACATCTAGTGTTAAAAGCTGTAAGCTAACTTGACTATCATTAAATCCTTTTAAGTGCTAAAGAACACCAAAGTAAAGTTTTTCTTCTTTAAAAACAAATAGGACTTGAATAACGCCCACCCCACCCCCAAAGCACTGTTTAGTCCATGTGGCCCAAATCTCAACCCACTTCTCTTATAGAGTTTAATAAAAATGGACTCTGGGACATACTCTGATAAGAATATTACAGATGGCAACATTTCCAGCTCCACGAGTCAAAACACCATGCAAGCCAGTATTTGATAGCACATAAGAAAAAGCAATTTTTAGGACATTTCAGGAATATTTAAAGAAGATACAAAGACAAGCCCACACTTCTGCCTTTATTATCCTGCTCTACTGTGGTTGCTTTGAAAGACCTGCTCATTAAATAGCTGTTATTTTTGCCCAATGACTTAAGATTCTAGTGGCACAGTTTAATTCATTATAGTATTTTCTTTAGTTGTATACTACCGATGAATCTGTGAATTCTGAAAATTATTTTTGGCCTAGACAATGTTTTATAAAAATTGAAGTTAGTGAGTATTAGATAAAGCTTACCTATTTGTTTTACAAAGTTCATCCTTTCCCCTTTTAACTCCAAAAATTCTTGTGATCAAGGAACTAAAGAGAAGTGTGGATGAATTTCTCACCTAATATAAAAATAAACATAAAATATGGGTTAAGAAATATTCATGGCATAAAATCACCATTTATGATGTTTGAACTAGATATTCAAAAAATAATCCAACTGGCTAGTCGAAGAGCTAAAAAAGTAAGCCTGTATTCATAAAGTAAGAAAACTTAGACTATATTCACACAATATAGCCTTTTTCTACACTTCTATTAATTGTTTTCGTTATATATTTGTACGCTTCTTAAAAAAAAAAAAAAAAACACTGTTGTTCCATGTCCTTCCTGACAGTGAGTATTCCAGGAAAGACCTCAACTCTTTCCATTTATTTTCTGTAATCATTTAACTGTGAAAAAACACCTGTAAGACTTAACTTCACAGAATCCATATTAATTAATATAGACAACAAAACAGTTATACTCAAGATGCTATTTATTAACCTTAGAATGCCAGTAACCCACTCAAGTAGTTTTAAAGCTGAAATTTCTTATAATAACTTATTGATAAAAATGAGGCAAGACAAGCAGGCATGATAGTATCAACCTGTAATCCCAGCACTGGAGAGGCTAAAGCAGGTTAGCCTGGGCCATATATTGAGACCCTGTCTCCAAGAGAAAGAAAGAAAATAAATAAAAAGGAGAGAATTATCATCAATAAACTTGAATTAATTCTCCAAGATACCAATAGAGCCTATGTTTATAGAGCCTATGATTTAGTAATCAACATGTCAAGATGCTTTAGACGCTCATGTCCTGAATACCCTAGCATTATCAGTTCTCCTCAATCACTTTGTCAAATCAATGTGCACTCCATTATACCAGAACCATAGAGAACATTATACCAGAACCTTCAGAACAGAAAATAAACACTGCAATGAGAGAAAATCCATATTCTAACTAGGTAGGTATCATCATAAGGTACGTTAAATAGTAATATAAGCTGAAAGGTTATTAAAAGTCAAAATGTAACCCAGAAAAATGGCTCAGTAGGTAAAGGTGATTGCTGCCAAGCCTGACAACCTGAGTTTGATACTTGGAACTCATGTGGTAGGAGAGAACTAATTCCTACAAATTGTCCTCTGACCTTCACACATGAGCCATAGCATGCATGCATACACATGCGTGCAGCGCGTGCATACACATACACACATACACACATGCACATACAGAATAAAAAAAATGAAAATTTAAAAAATGTAAATAGCAACGCAAGATTTAGAAAACAGATTTCTGAAACTGCTGCAGTAAGGGTCACAAATTCAGATGCCTAGGAGGAACAGTGATAACAGAGACATCAGTGCACTGTGTCTAAGAAGTCACTATCCAGCTTAGGCTGACTTGTTCCCATGAGAGACTATAAAGTCAGAATTGTCAGAACTTCTACTTTTTCAAGCAAAGCCAGAAACCCTAATTTTTATGTGAAATCTCACTATTTTGAAATGCTGGCAGAAATTAAAAGAAAAGGAGGGAACTACCATGGCCAAACAGAACATAGTAGAGAGCATCTGTCTCACTGGCCACCCATTACAACCTTTCCTCCAGAAGCTCAGAGCTCCCAATTCACCCACATTAGTCTTGGAAGTGAACTTTATAGATATATTAGCACCACTCACACTATAATTTTGATGAAATCCTAAAAATGTACCAATCTGCTTATCCTAAAACAACAATCAGCAAACATTAACAGAACCCTTGTCATAGCCTGCCTAGTATTCCCAATCAATAAATCCATCCATTCAGTTATGTCATCAATACTGCCTCTGCCCCAGCTCAGCTATGGATTATCTCAATATATGTTGTTGTCCATGTTTTTTATTAAAATGTAATAGGTATAAAATTGCACCTCACTGTGGTTTTGATTTGCATTTCCCTAATGAGTAAACACTGTTAAACACCTTTTCATGTGTTTATTGGTCATTTTAATATCTTCTTTGGAAAAATGTGTTCAGATTCCATTTTTCAATTAGGTCATCTAATTACTGAGTTTCAAGTATTATTTAGGAACCCAGGGCCTTGCACATGCTAGCCAAGTGCATTACCATTGACCTAAAACCCCAAGCGCCCATATTTTGTTTTAATGAGACAGGACCTTTATATAGCCCCAGCTGGCCTGGAGCTTGCTATACTCTTGCATCAGTCTCTCACAAGTTGGGATTATAGGTACACACTGCCACATCTGGCATGATTAATTTTTGTCATTTGGACATGGTATCAGATAGGGACTGCATTAGTTACTTTTCTTGTTGCTGCCACAAAATATCTGACAAGAAGCCATTTTAAAAAGAGTTTATTCTGACTTACAGTTCCATATCATGGCAGGGAAAGTATGGTGGCAGGAATGGAAAACCAGCTGGCCACATTGTATCTGAAGTGAGAAAGCAGAGAGTGAACAGGAAGTGGGAGGGGCCTATAAACCACAAAGCCCACTGTACCAATGACCCACTTCCTCCAGCAAGGCTCTACCTCCTAAATGAGCCACAACCTTCCCAAATAGTGCTACCATGTGGAGACCCGGTATTCAAACACAAGAGCCTCTGGGGGACACTTCACATTCAAACCGAAACACGGTGGGAGAAAGGGGAAAAGAAGGGGTAGGGAGTGGTGAGGCTACAAGGGGACCCTGTCTAAAAAAAAAAAAAAAAAAAAAATTGGGGCTGAAGAGATGGCTCAGTGGTTAAAGGCACTGGCTGCTTTTGCAGAGGACCTGTGTTCTGTTCTCAGCACCCACATGGCAGTTAACAATGTCTATTAATTGTTTGTAAATCCAGTTCCAGAGGATCTGAGGTCCTCTTCTGGCCCCTGTGGGCACTGCATACATGTGATGCTCTTACATATATATAAAATAAAATACAAATAATTAATTGAAAATCCAATCACCTCCCCCCCCCAAAAAAAGGTTAATGGGGGGCTTTTGGGACCAATGAGATGGCCCACAGTGAGAAAAGCACTTGCTACCAAGCCTGAGGACCTAAGTTTGATCCCTGCGACCCACACAGTATAAGGAGGGAACCAACTCCTTCAAGTTGTTTCTGATCATATTCACACTGTGGCATGCATGCACTTACACACATATAGACAAAATAAATAAAGTAATAAAAAATTCTATTAAAGGAAGGCTTGGAATATAGCTCAGTGATCCAGCACTTGCCTTGATGTGTGAAGGGTCAGGGGAGGAGAAAGACTAAGAGGGAGGGAGGCAGGAGAAAGAGGAAGACAAGAAGGAAGGAGGGAAGGTGGAAGGGAGAGGACTATGAACTGCTTTGTCTATTATGGCTCCTTTGTACTTTCTTATGTGCTTTAGGATCAGCAGGTCAATTTGTACCCACAAAGCCAGATGAGATTTTAATAGAGACTGTGTTGAATCTACAGATTAATTTGGGTAGATCATACGAGTTAGTACGGATTAGCATTTGGCCCTCAGGAAAAAAATGCTACCAAAGTTTCTCTTTTACTTATTGACTACATAAATTTTCCCTTACCTTTCTGACATGAAAAAGCTTCTATGTAGATTTATATAAGATACAGAAAAATGGGTAATTACAGAATGTTGTATTCATGTATGTATATATGCAAATATATATGTACATGCATATGTTTTTCTTACATAATATACTCTCTTGACAATATTTAAGAAGTATGAAAGGAGAGCCTGTTATGAGCACTTGCTCTGCAGTGTGGTTACTGATACACCTTGGCCTGTACCCTCAATGGACAGTCAAGTCCTTTAGGATAGGATTTACATGACACTTTAAATTAATCTATCTCATATACATGCTGAAAATTTATAGAAGAAATGTTTCTTTTTTTTTAGCAGATTGTTCAAAAAAGACCCTCCACATTCTACAGACACCCCAACAATACCCTTGGCCTTTTTTGAAGGGGGGGGTCTACTCTGTATTTTCTTCTTTATTTATTTTTATTTTGTGTGTACGTGTGTATTACCTGCATTGTATGTGAGCAAACCCGTGTTGTGCAATGCCATGGAGGTCAGAGAAGGGCTTTGGATTCCCCTGGAACTGGAGTTAAGGTGAGTCCATAGCTGCTATGTGGGTGCTGGGAATCGAACCCACGTCCTCTGCAAGAGCAGTCAGTTCTCTTAACTGCTGAGCCATCTCTCCAGGCACTATTTTCCTTTTTAAATCAACTAAAACAATTTTATACTTAAAATAAAAGACAGGAAATACTTCCCAATTAGAGTTTAGAAAAAAAAATATATATATATATATATCTGGGGGAAATGTTTTTTTAAGAAACATTTATGTGTCATTTTTAATTCAATGACATTTGAGTTCTAATTTTCTTCCATTACTTTTTAGTCATGTGATTTTGAAAGAGACACTGAAAATATTAACTCACGATTTCCTCATCTACAATCCAGGAAAACCACGCTGGGATTTCCTGTCTTCTGAAGAACCAGAGGAGAGGCCAGCAAGACTCTTGAGTTCATGGAGCCTCTCTTCTAAAGTTAGTATACACTTCTCCCATGAGACAATAATAGGGAAGGCAGGGTATCCACTAGCCCAAACATTAATTATAAATGAATTAAACAAAAAGGCCCTCCTCTTCGGAGTGGATGAAGTTCCATACCACATCAGATAAGTGGAGAACAGCTGGGGTTCATTACAGCCTGTAACCTGCCAGTCAGTCTCACACTGAGCAGAATTTGAAGTCACTATTGCCAATAGAGTACAGGTGGCAGCACCACCAGGCAGATCTAAAAGGGTCATTTTTTTCTAGCTTCCAGAAGGTGGGTGCTTCACAAGGTCTAGCTAGAAGATACACCCTGTGACAACCAGCTCAATGCTAATGCCTTTTCTCTTCCTTTACTTCACTTGCCATTTTCTTTCTTTCTTGCTACTTTGTCTTTATACACGCAAGAAAACCTTAGCCCCAGCTCTGTGGGTTTTTTTTGTTTGTTTGTTTTTTCTTTTTTTTTTTTTTTTTTTTTTTGTCTAGCTAGCCTAGAACTCACTATGTAGCCTGGGTTGGCCTTGAAATCCCAAAGATCTGCCTGCCACTG